TAGTCGTACCGGGACAAAGTTCAAACACTCAGAATAGCTTAAAATGTTGTAAAATTTGCTTAATTAGACATTATACTATCTGAATTAACCTCATAGCATCATTCGTATCTCGACCGATTTTGAAATTCAATATACCCAGAGCTGAGGTAAGGGGAAGTGATGTGCTGCACTAGATGCTTGGAAGAGGTTTTTATATTTTAATCTTAGCAGCATTCGTGTACAATATTAGAAAAAAAAATTCTCTGTGTTACAAACTCGTAGGGCCTTGGCATTGCCCTGGTTTACCTCTATCCATGCAGCACGCACCACATAGGGAATTCTTGGTTAGGCAGCCCCCAAGTCCATTGCCAGAAAGAAGGTTGTCCACCAGATCATGAAAGGTGGTTACCCAATCTCCCTCTCGATCTGTCAATGGTTGCGGCCTGATTCCGGAGGCAGGTATGTGTGATGGCGTCATCGAATTCCCTAGATCTACTCGACCAGGGCCACCTTTGCTTCCATATGAGTTAAAATTGTGATGCGGTTTGATGGTAGTAAGGGTTGTCAGGGCTATGGTGGTCATCGTAACCGCTGTAGTTGCTCTGGCGATTAAATTACTACTCGTGGAGGGCGTAAAGTCAACTTGTGAAACAACTTCGTTCTGTGTAGTTGGTACAAGAAGATGGGAAGGTGTTTGAATGTTATCGGATAGTAGCCCTGGTTTCTGTTCGTTGGCCAATAATTGTCTGTCTAGGCAACCAGTGAGACGAGACGTATAACATATAGTCTGATCTGCACTTGATGAGGAAGAAGAGAATGGAGATAGTTCTGGCTTGCTAGAGGTGATAGATGGAAACCGAAGTGACTCACACTCTGGTTTGGAGGCAGCAAGGAATGATGATTCAAGCTAAAAGAAAAGTGGAGACAAGCATATTAACAGGAGAGATAGTGATCTGTGTATGCATACTAATATGACATTTTTGTTTTTTTAACTTTCTCTCTATCTTGATGCTGATTTTAATCTACTTGATTTTATTTATTGACAAGGACTTATTCCTCGAATGATAATGCACGCTCACTTTTCGACAGAAGCCTAAGAACATGGATAACCAAATTAATTAAGTTAATACGCTAGCAAATTCTGTCGTTTTCTTGATTACAACTCCGACTCCATTGTTTGGTTCAAGCTGTGCGATTTAACTATTTATTTTTCATGTGTTGCAAAAGATTTTGTTTATAACCCATTAAATCTTCAAACTGATTCGACAGTTGCTTTTGATGGATTTGAGCTAAAAACTTATTAGAAAAGCTAAATCACTTAAGAGTGTCTAGTCAATTGGGTATAGAGAAATTTCCTCCATTTTGTCTTTGACCATTAATCCTAGTTGATTATTTAGGCTATAAATAAATGCTTATTGGTCTAATATTGGGTTAAGAATCGCCTGAGTTGACAACAAATTATGCGTGATAGTGGCTCATACGTACCGAAAGCTTCGGAAGCCATGTTAAAAAATTTATTGAATAGGATATGTATTCATAACGTGATGGAAGACTGATAATTGGATTTGCCCACAATTATATGAATGGAAGTGGGTTGACCTCGTTGTCGCAACTTTGTCTTGTTGTCAGGGCATCATAGTAAAACTCACCTAGTCCGAAGTGATCTGCCATAGTAGTTGTCATGATTCCCAGCATCAGACAGTGGATTTGTTACATTCCCCTGCGACCATACCAGAGGCCACAACATCTTGATCTTCATATTTATATGAATAGACTTTACGATGAAATTGAATACCATTTAGCCTTGCTTCCAAAAATGTATGCTAATCCAGGGAAGCAAGACTGATTGTGGGGAAATTAAACTATCAGTCCTTCCTCACCTTGGGAAACCTAGGGTGAATACGGTTCTTAATAAAGATATGCTTGTAATTTCAAAACTTATTTAATCTTATTAGAATAGGCTTTTTATCTAAACGAAAGTGTGCAGACTGAATAGACCACTCGCCTGTTCAACTCACCTTTTGAGAGAATTCGAATCCACACCACTCTGAGCTCTCGGTGGGACCAGGATTGAATGCTAGAAGTGGAGCACCCAGGACTGACTGGCTCTTCCCCACTGGTCGGGGGGAAACGGACGGTCTGTGGGCTGGAAGTTGGCCTACTAATTCCACCATCTTTCTGTCCTGGACCTTGATGGGACTGATTCTCTGAGGATCGGGAGACCCAGCCACCCCAGAGCTAACCAATGCCTGAGGGCCAATAAATACAGAATCATGTAGCAATGTCGTGGTTTCAAGGCTGGTATCCTTACTGCTACCAGAGGTTCTGGTATGGAGTGAACCTGCTAGATCAAACGGTCGTGTGCAAGCTACTTCATCCTCCAGCTTCAAAAGACTAGCTCTAGCTGTATCGAGGCCAGGAGCCCGTGAGCTGGTCGTGCTCGTTCGACTGCTGTTGCCGCTCGTAGATCCGGTTAGGCTGGTCCCAGTTGTGATGTTCGAGGTTGCGGCTTCCTGGCCTGAACTGGCTGTAGGTTCCTCATCAAATTCTGCTTCAACATCCTCAGCCTTAATGTCCTCAACCTCGCCAAGCTCGAGACCTCCATGTTGCCCGAACTCACCACCCAACTTTGCTCTCAAAAGTTTTTGAGGTTGCTCCGTAGCATTGAGTGTGGATCGACGAAACCAGCGAGGCAACGCGATTATGGCACTGGGAGCCATGGTGACATGTTGCTGTAACCCAGACAGCGGAGCTGGCTGGCGAGAGTATGCAGCAAGTGAATTACCAACGGGCCCATATCGTTGTGGCGTGGAGTCGACCAATTTGCGTGGTGAAGAACGAGAATTGCAGCCTTCAGGAAACCAAATTTTTGAGGTGCGAATCTTTGTGAAAGGAAATTAAACTATAAGCGTTCAGACGTAAAAGGGGAAGTTGGTAAATATTCCAGCAATATAAGGGTTCGTCGGTGCTAAAAAGGAATGAAGGTATTCACAAGTGTTCTTTGTGTAATGTGTGTGTTTGAGAATGGTTGTGCCCATGATGTATTGAACCCGACAGATGTAATAGAAAAAAGTAGGGATAAATCACTACATAATCATGTCAGACCATGTAATTTAAATATTCAAAGACCTTTCAGTGGCACCGTGGTCAGCACCATTAGTGAGCCGTGTCATTCTCAGCGCCAAGCTAAAACGCATTAGAGATGAGGCTATTTGAATTTTTCCACAATTATATGAGTAGTCCTTCCGATGTCATTGAATTTCACTTAGTCTTGCAATCCGAAAACGGGGTTAGACTGGAGTTTTGACCGGCTTATAATGACAAATCCAAGTTTGCTTCATTAACAATCCCACTAAAAATATGATATTTAAGAGACCTTCTTTGTTTTGAAAGTCATGTCTGCCCTGTGACCCACCGGCACAGCGATAACGTTGAAAATAAACGCTGCACTACTAGGGTTGGATTCCTGTTGCGGTTAATGATGAGACCCATGCGAGGTCGAAACTACAATCCATTCTGGATTAGAATACCCTTTGACAGGAAAGGCTAAGTGAAATTCATTTCCATCGTGGGGCCTACTCATATAATTGTGGGTAAATTCAACTAATGTTCCATCCTTACCTTACGCGACGTATGATAAATATAGTTC